TCTTCCTTGCATAAATCAGGCAAGATGGTCCTTAATTCCTCTGAGTTGGTGACCCACTTCTTTAGTTTAAAACCTCCTCTACATAGTAATTCACTTATCTGCTTAACGAAGCTCCTTGCTTGATCACAGGTGGGAAAGGATATTAAGCAATCATCAACATAGAAATTATTCTTGACAGCATCTACTACATAACCATCATAACCGTCAGAGAATCTTTGGGCTGTTTTATTCAAGGCGAAGTTTGCACAAAACGGTGATGATGTGGCGTCAAATGGATGAGATGTCATTTGAAACTCCGATGGTTCCTTCGACATGTCTCCCTCCTGCCACCACAGGAATCTTAAGACTACTCGATCAGGCTCAGGGACTTTCACTTGCATGAACATTTATTCAACATCTGCAGAGATTGCAACTGCTTCCTTGTGAAAACGCAGTAATATACACACTAACTCGGTGGTGGTTTCGGGTCCTGGATAAATCATATCGTTCAAGGATACACCTGAAAACTTGGCGGCACAATCAAGGACCACCCTAAGTTTTTCTGGCTTTTTCGGATTTAACACCGCATGATGAGGTAAATACCACTGGGGACGATAATTCGGTTGCAACTGTGGTTCAGGGACCTTCTCTGCATAGCCTTTTGTAAAATTACTTTCAATACTTTTGGTATACTTCGCACGCAGATTGTCATCCTTTAACAATTTACGCTTCAAATTCTGTAGTCTACTGTTGGCTATTTCGTAATTTTCCACCTTCATATTTGAATTCCCCTTCCATGGTATAGGGACTACGAAATGGCCGTTGTCGAAACGAGTGCCTCCTTCTACAATCTTTATAGCTGCCTTATCTTCTACCAATAATGATTTATCACTTGAAAACTCTGCATCATAAAACTTACGTATCTCGTTCTCTAATGTCTGTATCTTACTGGTATGATTAACAATTTTTTTTCCTATATTCCGGATACGATGCAGGTCCGAAGACCGTTCACCCCAGCAACGTTTTCACAGCGTTTTGTCAGTTTTTTTTTAAAAAATTTTTTTGTCACGATAATAAACGAGTAAACTCTGTTTAGTCATTCATTTATCGTACACAAACATAAACAGTTCATTTTTTGGGTCATTAGCAGTTTTGCACATTATTATTATCATTGTTAGCCAACCGAGACATTAAATGACAGTGACTTCTTTTTTTGTGTGTGTGTTTATTATTCTATGGTACATCTCTGCTACTGGTCATACTCAACTCCACATTTTTGTCAGCTATAACTGTAAATATTATTTTTGTATACATGTATATATCATACCCCTACATTTTTCTTACTATAATCAGTGTTACCTCCGGACACTCTGGGGGGAGCTATGAGGAGATGGGCCTGACAACCTTATTATGTAAATAGTTTTCATTGTTATTTGTATTTATTTTGTCAACCTTCCACTGTATGTATATTTAATATTAAATGACCGTAACTGTTGTTTTAGTCAATGACCTTGAACACACTTTCCGTTGTGCTACTACATAGCGTGACATACCGTTGCTGGCTAACAAATACACTGCTTCTCACACATTCCTCGTTCTATTTTCATTTGTGATTGAATTAACGGAAGTCTAATTCAAATACTATCTACATTTATAGACTGTAATCGGAATATATCAAATCCTACGTTGGGCTATATCACTAGAGAGTTCGCCAACCTGCTCAGAATCATCAAGCATTTATAATTGTGGATTTACATTACTGGACCTAATCAGAACACGCAACGTTTGATCAATTTAAGTAACGTTCCTAGTTTTTATGGTATTTGTAACAATTAATTGTATATTTTAATATTACTATTGATTTTTAATAACCTTGTTTATACTTTTCGCGTTCATATCTGTTTGGACCACCACACTTATACTAGACTTTGATCAGTTATCAGGGATCCCCATTTAAAAGTGTTCAGTGCACATTAAGCATGGTATTTGAAAATTATACGTAGAAAAATTAAAAACCGAGGACGACTGACTTAAGTAAGAACTAGAATATAATTGTTCTTGGATGTAAATTTGAGTGAGCACGTTCAATATATTATACAGCAGTAATAAACAATCAAATTGTAATTAGACTGAACTTACACAGCCGGACTGGTAGTTGGATTCACTTAACATCAGAATTATAATTCTTTGTAATTTGATTGGAATTGTAATGAAACTGGTCACACCGGTACATAGAATCCCTAGGTATTGTATTGGAATAAAAATAACACTTGCAATGAATTAGTCAGTGTAGCAATAAATAAATCCACAAAATAAATAAATAACTCTGTAAGTCTTCGACATTGGATGCTGATCACATTAGTTTTAACGGACTCACTTAGCTGAAGGCGCTTGGTCATGGATCCGCATTAGAATACGTATGGGGATGTCGTGCTCAACAATCCATGTAATCGCTTGCCAATGTAGATCAGTCGAACCACGATTTATTGATAGCCTATTAAATAAATCTTCGAACATCCCCACTTCTGACATTTAATTTCACTTGGTGTGTACGATTCATATTAGGTGTTACTGGTTAAAGCGATGTCAAACTCCAAATACCTGTGGCATCTTAACCATCATTCGTATTATGATGTAATAAATCAGGGAATTTATTAAACTGATATAATCTGCACCATAATAAAATGAACACAAACTGTCCAGTGTTTCAAGTAGCCAGAGTGTCCCAAGTACTTATACATCAGTATGATAAAAGGAACAGAACTAGAAAATAGATGGGTATAAAGGTTGCCAGACAAAAGAATATTTAGAAGATTTACGCATAAGACATTCGAAGTAATCACAGCCGTGCACAAGTTAACCAATCAAAATTGAACTAATGGATTAGGTAATCACGCGTTCACATATTATATTCCGAAATTAATACACGATTATGTTCATTTGACACGTTTGCACAAAATACCACACAATTGTGTAATAGTTACATGTTAGCATATTATTACTGAGTTTTCACCCCAAGATTAACAGTCATCTAGCGTACAAGTCAAGAGGATAAACAAACATGGATAATACTCACACTGATGATTTCATCTGATATATTTGTGAAAATCACCAAAACCAGTCACCCAATAAAGTGGCAGATATGAAGATATTTTCGTTCAGGCAGATAACCTTCGTTTTATCTACAGAAGAAACCAGACTAGTGGTTGATTGGGTCTTTATTCAGATTGTGGGAAAGAACAGTTGGAGTGTGAGGTTATCTTTTTCAAACCCACAAACTTATCAGCACTCTGTGGAAACATAATAGGAAATACATTGGTCACATAAAATAAGTGAACAGATGAATATTTGATCTATGGTATCCCGACACTGCCATGATGCATTCGGTCAATTTTTAACCAATCAACCTGATTTGTTAAAATAGCACAGACATAGGATGCTTATTAACGCTACTTTTCAAACATTTTTATTATACAAGGGTAACAAAGCCAATTAAAGTGAACTTCTAGAATGGGGGAATGGGGTGACATGTTTGAACAATGATCTCTGAGTCAGGGTGTATATGACTGTAGGGCCAGCGAAATTTCATTGAATATCGAGCAAATCATCGATCCTCGTCAAGATCAGGGATAACCAAAGCGCATCAGTTAGTGGTATGCCATGGACTGACCCATGCGGCATCGGTCTTACTTTCGCTTTTATTTACTTTAACTAGTATATTTCTGTATTAACGTCCTCTGTGTTTTAAAATCTTCAAAACATCTATGGTACCTTGATACGTCAATGGGGTAGTCCACGTAAAGCGCTGACCACGAGTTGTGACTTCGACGTTAGCTAGTTTTTCACACCATTCACGTCTAACTCGAGTAAGCGTCCAATCATTTCGACATAGATCATCTACGTCGATAATCTACATGACCTATACTTACTAGTTATTGAAAAAGATGCGCAGAACGTCGTGACGAAACGTGATCTGATGCGGACGCATGATGGAGCGCCTTCAGTACACAATATTCCTGTAGGTTTATCGTATCTAGCCGAATCATTCATCATTCATGTTAGTGTATATCGAACAGTTTGCCGGTCCTCATCATGGCCAAAGACCATAAATTAACTTCACCACATAAACTATCCAATGCGACTGTTTTCGTACTATATTTCTTATATTTATTCTTACTAATATATTTCTGTAATAATTCTGTTTACTTTGAATGTTCGGTAAAGTAGTCAGACTACCTGAACATTACGAAAGGGTATTACACATTAGATATTAACCGTAAGGCTTGACTTCGACGTAAGCTAGTTCCCATCATTCTGTCAATCCTCAACAGACCAACTGCGTTGATGAACTTCAGGCCAATTAGATTTAATGGAGTCGATATCAGTGTCGAATGACTCAGTATTTACCACCGCAGGTTGTAGTGACTCACTTTTATCACGAGAACACGATTGGTTCATTGAAAACAATTATTATTATAACTACTTGTACCAGTGACTGTTTTAATGTGCTTTGGTCTAACTGTGCTGAAAACATCCATTATTCTTACACTTTGATTGTGACTTCGCGCGAATTCGGTAACGTTCTGTAACCAAGCTTGTATCCTGGCACGATTACGGTATCCTTTCGATATCATGATATCGCCAGCAAATATATCTCCACTTAATCCATAAACTGCGTTATGATATTTGGCTTCTGGGGTATTTTATGGATATCCTGGCACGTGTTTCTCTGTAGCGGAGTTCATAGTCAATTTCCACTCGACGCCACACTACAAGGTATAATTAGGGGTGCAAGTGGAATCGTTTGAAAGAAATATAAAGTGAATTCAGCATCTCAAATGTTTGATATGTTTTGGGGAACTGTCCTACGACCAAATTAATCCATAGAATTTACAGACACAGAGCCAAGTATTAAAATCAGATATGCCTTCAATACAGTATATTTCACCACCTCATAGCCTCTTATCTGAATTAACCAGCAATTCTTGCAACATATTCAAATTGCTTCATCATATTCACACGTTTGTAATCAGGATGTGGCTGATTGTGTTAGTTAAAACAGATTGCGGGAATTTGCCTTTAGACGCGGCATCAAGGTCATAGGGGTTTGCTTTTAACGCTTCGGCATAGTAAGTATGGCATTCAATATGGAAGTTAATCTATTAATTTTTTCAAGCTAACAATGTGCGAGACTCAGGGATAAAGATCATTTTTTGTGACAGTCAAGTGTAACTACATAGTTATTAAGGCAACTAGGTTTGCGTAATAAAAGCTATTAGTGGTGAAATTATAATATACTAACGGTCTTGAGTTAACCATCAGGGATAACGATAACTCATGCTACTAAAAACGGAGTAAGTGTCGGCAAAAATTTTTTGAATGCTTGGTATTATCAAGAATACTTGTTATGCAACCAGTAAGTGAATTTAAAACGGTGCTTGAGCTAATTCACAAAACATGCCTTATCATTAGTCAGAATATGTGGTTAAGTACTTGATGTGATTTGTTACATAGTCAGGAGTCCGTGAGGCTAGATAATCCCCGAGCTCCCAAGTTTGGGGAAATAGCACAAAAACCACAAATTTTCCCCAAGTTTACTATAGCTTACTTACTTACTTACGCCTGTTACTGGTTAGCGTTTTTTAGCGAGTTAGTTTTCTACGGGATGGGGACGCTAACCCCATGCCCAACCCTCCTCCTTTACCCGGGCTTGGGACCGGCAGTAACCCTATAAGAGCTACAGGCGGAGTTTACTATAGCTGCTCCCCCGAAATTGGGAGCTTGGGTCCTCACTTTTAGTTCCAATCTCGAGTCTCGCAAATTTGTAATCGGAAGAGTAATCAAAGTATTGCATTTTCTCTGGTGTTAGTTCGTGAAGAAAACCTTAATACCAATTGTAAAATCGTCTCAGGACACCGGCTTAACCACCAATAAATAAATGCAACCGTTTTGCTCAACCACAGGCATTAGTTGGCGTCAGAAACTATGGTGTGTTTGTGCCATTTCACATCACTAGCTCTATTGCCTATTTATAAAATTCAACTTTTGTTCTTTTCGGAAAATCGACATTTAAGGGTCGATTACCAAAATCAAAACTATTATTGCACTTCTAGTAGTTTTTGCTCGTTACTATCCTTTCTCTTCTCTGTAACGGCCTATTTAACAATTATTCATTGGGTTATGTGGGATTACGTTTAGAAATAGGGAGAACGATTGTAGATATTGAGTTACTGTTCAGTTGCAGTATATAGTTTATCTACTGATTCCTGTCCATCGATTTCTCAGTTTCAGTCTATCACTACTTTGTGCATTTGCTCAAACCTAACAGGAATTTTGCTAAAATTTCAGAGCACACTTTTATTACAGTAAACCAAGCACTGTCAATTCTGTCGGGACGAAAAAGGTTCCGCTTCTATACCTGTTTTTTTTTTAGTATAGACATTGATGACATATGACTTGACGCGACTGTTTCAACCTCCAAGCCACAACGCGAATAAAAAGATGAGAAAAAGAGGACCGTAAATAGTGTCCATTTCAGTGGAAAATAGAATTTAAAAAGTGAAGTTTAGTATCAGCGAATGAAACTGAAGCATAAAAGGTTTGGAATGACATGTTACTCAGGCTTTTAGATTGAAGAAATAGTAAATCACACCATATCACTTTAATAGATTTAAAGTCATGTTACCTGACGTCTGCAATAATAGTGATTATTCCATGAATATCAATAACAATTTGCACTTATGTACATTAGATATTACAAGCTGTTATTTCAGAAACTGCTGACTCTTCAAAGCCGTCTTGTAACTCCAAAAACGTTTCCAACTGTTATAGAGCAGGGTAGTTTGTAGTTTCTCTAACATCAACCATTTCCAAACTACCTGAATGGAACATCGAAATAGAACCTCGACTCTAATTGAAGTTCAAAAAGCTATAGCTAGTCTTGAGTGCTGTTGGAATTATGAGGGCGGTTATCACTTCCCTGTTGCACACATCGTGGAGGGGTTCTTCTGAAGGTACCTGAAAAGGACCTGAGGGTGTGACCGCACTGCCCAAGGGACAACTGCTTGAGGTCTGTCACACGCGATCATTTTGTGGGTAATTTTTGTGTTAGCTCCGTACCTGCTGAAACCTTGCCGCTGGAGACTGATATCTGTCGGATAAGGCGAGGTGTGCTTTTTTAGGGTCGACCTTTTTTAACCCCACCTTGTGGAGAGGCAGCATCGCTGCTATGCTGGTTGTTTGAAGGAAACACCTTACTGCTGTCACATCTCTGGGCAGCCAGTAGTACGACTTCGCCCTCGAACCTTGGATTTACCGCTCTTCAACCGACCTGTCTGGCATGACACGACCTTGAGAAACGGTTGTTCCAGCCAGTATAGCTCGACTGGTTCATCACGGTAGGCAAGCCCGACCACAACGTCAAGGTGCCAACAACGGTCGGGTATAGCTAATCTGAAACGAGGAAGGGCAGCTGGTCCAGCTGAATTAACTCCACAAGTTTTTAAGGATAGTGGTCCAGTTTTAGCGATTAGGTTGACCAATATTTTATCTAAAATCTGGGAAATGGACGTAATCCCATCCGACTGGTCATAATCATTGATTGTCCCAATACATAAGAAAGGATCTAAATCATCTTGTGATGACCATAGAGGGATTAGTTTGTCCAATACAAAGTCCAAAATACTAGCCTTAATAATTGTCGGACGTCTAACAAATCTTCGTAAACTGAAAATACAAAGAAATCAGGCTGACTTCAAACCCGGTCGTGGGTGCATCGACCACATGTTTACCAGTTGTGGGGTTTTAAAACAGGCATGCTTATCGGTGTCTGACAATGATAGTTTTTCTTGACTTAATAGCAGCATTTGACTTCGTAGTCCGAGAGGTTCTGTGAAAGTGTCTGTCATTGAAAGATGTACCTCAGAAGTACATAAGCCTTGAGAAGGCTGTTTGCTCGAACACTACCTGTCGGGTCAGAGCTTATGGCGAACGGTCATCTGGTTTTGCAACCTCAAGTGGTGTCTGTCAAGTTTGTCCACTATTTCCATTTTCGTTCAACTTCATCATAGACTTACTACTGGAAATAACGTTATGGTCGTCTGAATTTTTATGAATTGATCTCCTACCAGGATGTCCACTTACTGACTTAGGATGTACAGATGACATAATGCTGTTTAACGAAGACGCTGATAAAGTGCAGAGTCTTTTGGTAGCACTCAATGACAATGCCCAGATGTTTGCGATGCGCTTCTCCCATTCTAAACTACAAGTTGTTGCTTCAGGACTGGCCTGCGTAAGCATCCGAACTAAAGATAGGGAGTGAAGTAGTTGAACACGTCTATAGCTTCACTTATCCTGGAAGTTTGGTCAGTCTTAATGGATTGTTGTCTGACGAAATCTCTGTACGAATCCAGAAAGCCCGTCTGGCTTTTGCCAACTTACGTCATCTATGGCGAAGGCGAGATATCCGTCTGTCAATTAAGAGACGAGTATATTGTGTGGCAGTTCGTTCTGTTTTACTTTACAGACGCGAAAGGTGGCCATTAAGAGTAGGAGATACTCGTAAGTTACTAGTATTTGATCACAGATGTTTTAGAAATATCGCTCGCATCTACTTGGATCACCTGGTAAATAATGGTGAGGTTAGACGCTGGGTATCAGAGAATGATGGTAGATCAGTTGATGAGGTTGTAAATCTTCATTGACTGATATGGTTGTGCCACGTGTTTATTAACATCCTAAAAGCCCTATATAAAAACACCTCAGGTAGAGTGAGGGCATACAACCACCTCTCTCCATTGTTCCATTCGAGTAGTGGGGTTAGGCAGGGTTGCCCAATCTCACCATTCCTCTTCAACTTTGCCATCGATGACATTCTGGAAACAGCTCTGATGAATGTAAGTAATGGTGGTGTGGATCTGTTGCCTGGAGAAAGACTTCTCGACCTTGAGTATGCGGACGATATTGTCTTACTGTGCGATAATGCCCAAGGCATGCAATCTGCACTTAATCAGTTGGCAATCAGTGTCCGTAGGTATGGTATGTGCTTTGCACCTTCTAAGTGCAAAGTACTTCTACAAGACTGGCAGGATTCCAATCCTGTACTCACACTGGATGGTGAGCAGATAGACGTAGTCGAGAAGTTCGTGTATCTGGGTAGCTACATAAGTGCTGGTGGGGGTGTGAGTGATGAGATCAATGCACGTATAGTGAAAGCCAGAGTGGCTTATGCCAATCTGGGCCATCTTTGGCGCCTTCGTGATGTTAGTCTGGCTGTAAAAGGTCGGATCTACAACGCGTCGGTGAGAGCAGTTTTGCTCTATGCTTGTGAAACCTGGCCTCTCCGAGTTGAGGACGTTAGACGACTCTCTGTGTTCGATCATCGCTGTCTCCGAAGGATTGCTGACATTCAGTGGCAACACCGTGTCAGTAATGCAGAGGTTCGGCATCGTGTGTTTGGGCACAGAGATGATAATTCAATTGGTGTCACCATCTTGAAACACCGACTTCGGTGGCTTGGACATGTTCTACGAATGTCGTCCCAGAGAATTCCACGTCGTGCATTATTTGCCGACTCTGGGACTGGTTGGAAAAAGCGGAGAGGTGGTCAGTGCATGACATGGTGTCGTGGTATGAAAGAAAGCTGCAAAGGACTGGCTTGTGTTGGTCCTTCACGACTCCCTGGTTGGGGTCTGAGAGATGGTGCTACACAGTGGCTAGAGACGTTATCAGATATGGCTCAGAATAGAAGCCAGTGGCGATCCTGCTGTAACCTTCTTTTACTTTCTTCATAATAGTGGTTGTGTCTCCCTTACTTGAAAGATTTCTTCTGATTGTACCTTTCTGTTCCATCGTTACGACCACACTACCTTTTGTGGTCCTTAGTTTTTTTTCTTTTTCTATCTCTCTTTGAATTTTCATTGTTTTGTGTGGCGCATATATATTGGCGCTCTCTTGTACCAATATTTATGTGTTCAAATAAATAAATAAATAAATAAATGCCCAACCACTGACTAGCACGTTGCACAATACTGACTAGTGCTGGAGATGGTTGGAAGAAAGTTGGGGGCGACCAAACCAAAATGTGGCATAGGTGCTTGAAGTTACTAACTTCTAGTCTTAGCCATGTTGGTATTTGCGGACTACTTGGTTGGGGTCCGCATGACTACCGTAGCCGGGGGTTGGAGACTAGGTGAAATGGCCCAGAATCGACCACAATGGCGTAGGTGTAAACACTTTGTATTCTCTTAAACCGTGGGATTGAAATTACTTTATATGTTTCCTTCTACGAAAAAAATTCTTATTCCATGTATCGTATGCGTATATACAACCTTTTTTCTGTATATTACTACCATTAAGGTAACTGCTTTTGTGGAATTACTTTTCATCTTGTTTTGCTGGGGTATGATACCTTGGATCTATGCACATGTGTACCTGGTCTTATGTTGTACATGACCCACTGACCTCTAACTTCACAAACTTGATTGTTTTCAATTCTGACGTGTGTGGGTCATTTTGGAACTTGAGATGAATCTTAATAACTCATATGTTTCATATTTCCACCAACACATCTCTTTTAAGACTGTATTCCAAGCTCCCTGACTACTTGACCTTTTCCAATCTATAAAAATAAACTTGAGATAGCTTTGGAGCTTTTGTGTTAGTTTTATTCGACCAGTTAGATTGTAAACACGAATGATATCAATGCATCTTTTTTTCAGGATGTCAATTAGAATTAAACAAACCCTTGAAGTAAAAACATCATAATTCATACGATTTCGATCTTGATTTTCCCCACCGTTCTTTTGGCATGTTGTATTTTTTAAATATTTTTAGAATGAACAAATTTTAATATTCACCGTATAATCGGTACACAATAATGTCTCGTTGCAATCAGTTACAATAATGTCAGATGTTGATGCATACCCAAGGTTTGCAAGTCGTGCACTAAGGAATAATCTGTCGGATAAACTACTTATTCCATCTAAACAGGTAACAAGATGGAAAAAAAATTGAGAAACAATTCATGTAGGTTAGGTTCCGCCCGAATGTAATCACAAATTCCTCTGATTATCTAGCTGACAAAGTGTCCTGGAATTTTACTGAATCTGGTCTCGATGAATTGACCAATGTAACATCATCTTTTGGTAATTCGGACCCCATTTCCATATTGCAAAATCGTTACCCACCAGATAATGCGCCTACACAAAACCACTTTGTTTCTAAACAAACATTTTATGATGTATTTGAGGCGATGGAAAATAATGTCAATAAAATGTGTGATCTTTCTGAGAATACTGAATGTCGCCTTAAAGGCAGCTGTCAAATTGCTTCATTCCTCAAAACTACAGATCACCTCCCTCGGCAACCGTTATCATCTTGTGGTCCTGTATATAGTCCCAAAAACTGTCCTTCAGATGCGAAAAGTTCAAGTGACCAAGACCCCAGAGAACTACCCAGCTATCCTTTTACGCATTCCGAAAGTCTGTCTTTGTCAAGTTTGACAGATTTAAGTTGTCTGGAACCAGATACAACTTCTTTTTGCGATCCAGGCGATGCGACTCTAAATTTTTCACAACCAGTCTTCAATACAACAAAAGCCTTAGAACGGGAGATTAAATTCCTGTCTAAAACAGTCAACAGTGCTTCCAAAGAGGTAAGTTTCTTGTTTTATACTCTAGCTAATTGTATTGTAACTGTATAAAGTAGCCTGCTGATCTTATGAAATTAGATAAGCATAATAGTTTCGGTCGATTAGAATGTTACTTAATTTATACTGTTAAAATGGTGACAAAATGATTCACCCTGCCTATCTCTGATTCATATGTACCTTTAGAATAGCTCTTTCATATTAGTATGACTAATATTAATCAGGCTTGAATAACTCTAAAGGAATTATCCATCTGTAACTTATATCTCAGTGATTGATTTTTTTTCATTCCAGACATTCTTTGATTGACACAGTGTTCAGAAATCTCATGCTAAGTATTAAGACAAGTTTAATGTAATCTTCTAAACATTGTGTGAAAACTGTCAAATATTTCATGTGCTTTGTATGTGACAGATTTAAAACTAAAACAGTGACGAAGTTTTAGTGCAAATATCCGTTGGTGTTTGCTTAATTACGGGAATTACAAACCCAATGATATATTTCCTTGTCCATCAATATTCTACGAATACTACGTACCTTATTCTAATATTCACTATTAAAAAATTCCAACCGGAATAAAGTTTCAAGCGGTTATAATCGGTCCTTTATGATTCTCTACTTTTGAAGCATCGCTAGCCAACAGTAAGATTATCAACTGAACAATGTTAGGATGAAATGGGAGGTTATTGAACAAAATTAGACCAATTGTAACTATTTTAACTCGTCCCTTTACCAGGGTTTAAGGTTGGAAGTAACACATCGTCAAACTGCAACTTGACACTAATCTACATTTTTTTGGCAATCTGGTTGGGTTTTCTAATAATGTACCCTCTTTATTTTCCTATATTAAAAGCTTAATTTTTTGGTTACTATTTACTTCCTTTTATGAAGAAAATTTCGCGTTGACTATTGGCTTATTTATTTATTTATTCGCATTATTATTGCCCAGAAAGAAAGCTCGGTATAATAGGGTACCAAACATGTGTTCTATACAAAACGAAATGTGTTCTGAAGAGATAAAAGGGTGATAAATCAGGCTAAAAAATAAGTGAATCGAAATAATAATATATATTTAAAAAGTGCAATCAGAGTTTAAAGATAATCAAGCTAGATTTGCTTTAGCGTTAGGATATGCATTTTATCGTTTATGAAGATATACTATAGAAAATCATAGCATAATCCTCACTGAAATATATAGTTCTTAGGATCCGACCCAAAAATTCTTAGTGGGTTCTTATTAAAGAAACTGTTCCATTGCAGCTTACCATGTCGTAATCTGAACATCTCTATTTTTCTACTCATTCTAAATGTTTACAAGTAATATACAATCTGGAATGACATATGTAAAGTATGACCAATCAACGAAAGCTGGTATTATAAAATGATATCACCTACAGAATTGTCATGTCCAATCTACTTGATCAGGCGTTTCAGGACCTCGGTATTATTTACACAATTCGCCTACTAGCTCTAACCCATCTTGTATGCTGTAGTAAGGCTTGGTGTACATAATCTTCTCTGCCTCTTGAAATCCTCCTACACACCTGAGTATTTATAGTTCTTCTCACTGGTTACCTTCACACACTGAAAGTGTTTCCTAAATGTTGGATGAATATCGAAAAAAACTTGACACTTAACCAATCATATACATCATTTCTAAAATCCAGACCAAATGAGTGATAAAACGGTATTTGTTAGCAGACGTCCACTTTTTCACCATCATCTTTATAAAACGTTACTGAGTGGAGGACATCATATTTGGGCAATAATTTGTCCTCCTTCCTCCTGGAGACATCAAAACATATTAGGAACTATGAAAATGTTTTAATATTAATTCACTGACAATACACTAGCATAATAATTGTAGGTTCAAAAGTTTAATATTGTCTACTAAACTTCATCGTGATGCTAACCTTTGAATAAAAAAAACAGTACACTATTTTTCTCTACCATTAAGCAACCCACTGACGAAATACGCTTAGAAGCCGAACGTATTGTTAATGAAGCTTGCAATACTCTTCCCGCTGGAGATAACTCTATCAATCCTTTAATTCTCAATCCAAGAATCACTGTTAATATACCTGAAAATGTATCTATGTATGAAAATCTTATAGATTTGACAGTGGATGAATCGGAAATAGTACGTTTGGAGCGTCAACGAATTGCAGCCCAGCGTAAACGATTGATTGAAGCGAATAGGAAACAAAATATCAAAGTTGTAAGTTTTATATTTTTGCCTCACTATTTTCCGGAATAAGGCCAGTTTTAGCGTGTTTCGTATTGATAATATTATTGTTAATGTGTGTAAGCTATTCAGCTCTAAGGGTGGCGGTTAGTCTTAAACTGAGTCGCTCAATAATGACAACTTCTCATGACTTTGCTGGAATAAAAATCTAACCCGCCAAAGTTAATTAAAGAATCTTAATTTATTTCAGTCAGTCAGTCAGTAACAACGAAGAACTTCGTACGCACGTACATCAGTTCGAGTTGCCATACAACATTAGCACAGAGATACAATTGTCGATTGAAACCCCGTAGTGGTAGAGGTAGTAAGAGTATAAGCAGTAATCGGAAAGATTAGGGTTTTAAGATGTCGTTCAAGGAGTATAATACAGTGAAATAAATTTGGAAAGAGGAAAAAATGGTCGGAAGATTAGAATTTTTGAGAACACAAAGAGTGGATGCACATGCGCCATTGCAAACTATTTTGAGCCATATCATTCAGGGTCTCTAACCATCAGTTGCTATCATCTCGCGGTCCCCAACCAGGTAGTCTACGTCAACCAACATGCCTCAGTCCACTTGTCAGTGACTTCATGGATTTGTGCCATGTTTTGATCTGGCCACCCATAGTTTTCTTCCAACCTACTCCCACACCATTGGACATCGCTCGTCGAGGCAGTCGGTGGTTGGGCATACGTAACACGTGTCCCAGCCATCTCAACTGATGGAGTTTCACTAACTCATCAATTGATTTGTCGAGAAATACTACGATTGTGGGGCGTGGGAATGTGTGTCTATGTTCTAGGACCTGACGTAGTGTGAATATCTGGTCTATACAACCACGTCCAGGTCGAAATCCAGCCTGGTTTTCTCTAGTCTGCTCTTCACGAGGTTTAGTTAGGCGTCGAAGTATTATTGAAGCTAATATTTTAGACTATATATTAGTCAAACTGATTCCCCTGTGATTGTCACAAGAAGACGTTTGTCCTTTTTTATAGACTGGCACAATCAGTGATTGAGAACAGTCAGATGGGATTACATCCACTTCCCGAATTCTGCCTAAGACCTTACTCAATCTCACTGCTAATACTGGACTACCATCTTTAAAAATCTCAGGAGTAAACCTGTCAGGGCCTGCTGCTCTCCCTCGCATCAGATTTCCTATAGCTTTTTCAACTTCATAAAGAGTCGGAGCACCTAAATTAACTAGCCATTCAGGTTGACTGGAGATCGTGCGGAACCGACGTGTGGCTGATGGCCAGTTAAACTGATCCCTAAAGTGTTCTGCCCATCGATCCAATTTCCTGGATTGAGAATGTATAATATGTCCATCTTTCTCTGAGATTGTTTCGCTAACAGTCGGGTTCCTAATACCGGTTTCCTTAACGAGTCTGAACAATTGTCTGTTATTACCTATTGCTGCTGCCTTTTCCATCTGTCTTGCTTTCGCTACCCATCACTGTTCGCGATCATTGCGTAAGCTTCTTGTCAACTTGCGCTTAAGCTGACTGCGATCTTCGTTATGTCCAGATCCAGATGGAATGAGTTTTCGAGCATCTATCAGTGCGGTAGATGCTGATGCGATCCACTGTTTCTCCCTAACCTTGTAATTTACCGTACTAACAGATATCACTGCTGTTTCCACAGCTTTTCGGATGTCATTCCACTCTGCCTCGGGGTGGGCATCACATACATGGCTGCCTAACTGTTTTCCTAGTTGTTCCTGAAATATACTCCTAGCTTGACTATCATTAAATAGAACCCTAAGAGGTTTCCTTGCAGCGTCTTTCCGACGTCCAGTAAGACGCAGAAAAATACGCGCTCGCACTAGAGCATGATCTGAACCTAAGCATGTGCTCCTGAATGAGCGACAGTCTTCTATCGAGCCCCTCCATCGGTGGCTGATGGCGATGTGATCTATTTAGGTTCAACGTTGGGACGAATTAGGGGGTCGCCATGTCAAAAGATGTTTTTCCTTATGCTTAAAGTTAGTATTTGCTGGAAGCAGGCGGTTATCTGAGCATAGCTGCAACAGACGGTCGCCATTATCTGTTCTTTGAGCCACGATGTTATAAGATCCACACAGGTGTCTTTCCCTTTCTCTTAGCTTACCTCCTTGAGCATTAAAGTCACCAGCTACTATTACTACATCAGAGCGCCTAGCTTTTCAGAGAAGGTCGGAAAGCTTTCTGTAAAACTCATCTTTTACATCATCTGAGCTGCAGTCAGTGGGAGAATAGACAGAGGCAACGACTAGTGTCTCTATCTTTCCGAGTCCTTATTGTTCCGTTTAGTCGAACAGCGCACAAACGACTGTCTACTGGGATCCACTCTAAGAGAGCTAGTTCTGCCCTAGGACTCAATGCTATACCTACGCCGGCGAGGCCACGGGAAGCAGAATCAGGGCTTCCAGATACACGAAGTGTGAATCGAATCGGTTGTTTGTTTTGACATGGTGAGGTCAAATGAATGACGCTGCTCGGATCCTGTATGCGCGTTTCGGAGACGCAGCACACATCGATGGCACGAGATTCTAAAATCCTAGCTAAGGAAGCCTGTTGTCCTATTCGGCACAGTGTTCGAACGTTAAAAGCTCCTACGTGTAGTTTAGAGCGTGGTTTCAGGAGACCAGGAGTGACGTTCCGCGTACTCGAATCGTTTGCCCTAGTAGTGAGAGGTGATAAAGAAGCGTGACAAGGGTTAGTCGTGGAGATAAGAGAGGTATTAGGAGGTGTAGGAAGGATTTCAATGTGACCAACTTGGTTTCGTGTGTTGTTACGGGTATAAGGGCTGATATTACTTCCCGGCTGCCCACACTGTGGAAGGGTATTTCTTGAGGAACCTGAAAAGGAAGTTAGTTTAGTGTTGACTTTAACGACCTGAGGACGTGACCGCAGAGCCCAAGGGACAACTGCTTGAGGCCGGTCGTGCATGGCCTTTTCGTGGGAGCTTTTTAATGTGTTAGCTCCGTTCTTCAAAGGGCCTTACCGCCGGAGACGAAAATTCGTGAGGTAAGGTGAGGTGTGACATTTTTAGGGTCGACGTTTTCTCACCTCTTCCTTCCTTGTGAGAAGGCAGCATCGCTGCAGATGCTGGTTGTCCGGGGAAAACACCCTACTTCTGCCACACCCCTCTACAGTCAGCAGTACGACTTCTCCCTCAAACCTTGAGTTGCTGCTTTTAGTCTTACCGTTCTCCGATCGACCTGCCTGACATGGTAGAACCTACAGGATCATATGTTCCAGCCAATATAGCTCGGTTGGGTCATCACGATAGGCAAGCCCGACCACCGCATAAGGATAGCAGCTACGGTCGGGAATTTAATTTATTTAAGTTAGACGATTTCATTTATGTAGGTGGACGGTTACAATTTCCGTCCTTACATTTTGATAGTAAACACTTGATTATATTTTCTACCAGGCACTTTGTTTACAGAGTTGATTGTGATTCATTCCCACGTACATAAAGCACATATCAGGATCATGCACTTGCTTAGTCTTTGCAAAGAAATACGGATTATTAGAGATCTCGTATCCTTTTTTGACTCAGAAATGCCGGTTCTTGTAGTCATGCACTTACCTTATTTTGATCATTTAGCGATAGTCCACGTGACGCGAAATCTTCAGGATTCAGTTTACTCCTAACGTATCTATTGGTTTCGAATAGATAGCTCATATGTAGTTACCACTATCCTATTACTTACAAACCTTTTGAATCCTTTGATTGTATCTCTTACAATCAAGCATGATTAGCGAGTTTGTTCAATAGGTAAAAGAGAAAACATGAGTATTTAGCTGTTCTCCAAGTAAGATCTAAGTGGCTAAATGTGCAGAGAGACTTAACCAAGTGTTTTAGTCCTTATCAATGACGTTATTGCAACGACAAATCAGTCACCAAGGCTCATTATCAAACAGGTAAACTACGAAATCAACGGATAAATAGAAATTTTGTAAATGAAGATTACACCCGAAAGGATTATCCGGAATATACGAGATTTTTGTTTGATCGTAGAATGAGATGTTTTAGAAAGAAATGTCAACTCCGATCCATAGGAACGAATCAACGAATAATATCCCAGTTAAAAACCCTCCACCTTAGATGCAATGTGATCTCGGACTAACCATTCTTTATTTGACTAACAATCTCAAAATTGTACCTTTTTCATAAGCATGACTGATTTTTTCATTGTTTTATTTTGTGTTCCTACTACTGGTCGCTAATGAACTGTTCCATTTCACACTTTCGTATCAGTTGTAATAATTCGTATTTTTGAAACAGGTATAATTTGTCGGCTGTTCAAAGTTTACCCATTTTGACTATAACTACACCAAACCTCTGCGTACAGTAGTTTAGGAATGTGTTTAGAAAATCCATCTGCAAGCATATTAGATCCTTTAAAACTGTTTGGAGAGGTACAGACCACCTGGTTGATGTCTGTGCGATAATCCTAATCGATGGTTGAAAAAGATTTTCAGCCACTATGGTAACAATTTATTTTATAGAGATAGATACATTCATTCTTTAGTTTCCTGAAGATTCTTCTTTTTAATGTTATTTCATAATTTTTTATCTTTAAAATCGTCCTCTGTTTTTTGAAATCATATTCAGTTAGACTATAGTTTATGAATGACCCAATCAGGTTCAGGATAACAGGTCTTGGATTTTGGCGTGGAATTCATTCATCCACTTGGCTAAATAGCGTTTTGACATTTTAGTTGTCATTTCGTGATGAAAACCCTAAATCAAATTCCCAACACTCATCATCAACTGTAATTCATAATCCTGATTCTTCACACTGGTTTATAACATTCATTTAACCCTATCAAGACGGTGGACACTCACTGGTCACTTTAGCATCGCTCAAAGGTCGTCCATAAATTATAGTTTCACCTTTCGTTTTTTGTGGCCTGCTGTATTGTGACATTTCGGAGCAATGTATAGTTATACCAAATATTGCACTGATTATGATTAACTTAACTGCCCAATGAAACAGCT